GGGCGGGCGCGGGGAGGAAGGAGGGCAGGCAGGAAGGGAGAAGAAAGGATGGGGCGAGGCGCCCGTCCCGGAGTTGGGGATGCAGCCGAGTTGGGGCTGGGGGCTGCTGCTGCCCGAGCCCAGCAGCTGCCGAAGGAGGGGACGCGGGGCGGCTCGGGAGGAGGAGGAGGAAGAGGAGGAGGCGCGGGAGGAGCGGGGCGCGGGGCGCGGGGTGCGGGCCGCGGCTGGGGCACGGGGACCCGGACAGCCGCCGAGCGCGCTCCTGGCAGGCTCTGGCAAGTACGGGATCGGAGCAGCTCCTCTCGCCTTCCTCCCTCCCCTCGCCGTCCCCTCCCTCCCGCCTTCCTCCGCCCTCCCTGGACGTGGGCTGCAGCCCACAGGGACCGGACGGGGACGGCGAAGCCCCCCGCGGGAGGAGGGGCCGGATGGCGCGCGCGCGGGGAGGGGCGGCGCCGGGCGGAAGCGCAGACCCCGGCCCCGGCGCGGCCGAGGGTCCCGGGCCAGGCCCCGCACCCCGGCCCCGAGCCCCTGCGCCGCTTGACTCGCGTGGGCCTGGAGAACCGCCCGGCCGGCGAGCGGACCGCTCCGGGCTGGGATACTTTTGTTCGCCCGCCTTTCACCAGGGATTTGCACCCGGACCCCTGGGCCTGCGCTCGCTGTCAGTACCCGCGAGACCCACTTCTTCCCTCCCTAGTCTTGAAGCGACAGGACGAGAGAACTCGAGTGGCAGTGGGGACAGACAGCAGCCCGTGGGCTTCTTCAGGACACGTGGGCTTCCACCCCACCTCAAAGGCCGCGGGGCCTGGGAAACCTCTCCAGCCCAGTCGGCGGGCTGCGCTTCTCCCGGAGGCTCCCCGCGGCCCCTGTCCGGACTGCTGTGCCCTGCTAGACTGTTCTGGAACCAATTGTTTACCTGGCCGGCTCACTCTTGGGGAGCTCTTCCTGGAACGCAGGACCCTGCCCTGTTTGTCTTTTTAATCCCACGGCTATTTAAATGGACTACCTGGTATACAGTAGTTAAAATGAGTGCTCCTCGCTGCCAGCAGATCTGGAAGGTCAACACGGACGATCTCCCTAGGTTCAAAGCGCCAAGTACCCAATATTTGGTGTGGTCGCCCACAGACCCAGAAGCACCGCAGAGCTTCGGTTTCTTGGCTATGAAACGGGACCGTTGTCTTTCTCTCCCAGGGTTTTAGCGATTACAGATTGAAAGAGCCATAACGTTTAGCACTTGTTCTTGCCCTGTTAGGTTTACGATACATGGAAGCTAACAGTATTATTACTAAGTTTCCATTTTGTTTAGGCCCTAGAGAGCTTTTCCAATACGAGATCAATGAAGCTTTTAAACTTGACAGCTACAAAGTTAAAAATCATAAACTCAGTAAATTCTGTCTCACTTCTCACTCTTAGGAATTCTCTGTCAGAGCAGGAGGTTCTTTCCCTCACAGCACCAATCACGATTTCTAATTATTTGCTTGCTTAACTGTTTATCTTTTTACCTCCACTAGAAATTCTTTACCCTGCACTGGTTTAAGTGCTGCCGGTGGAAGGGTGGAGGTGGCAGTAGGAGTTGAAGATAAGGGCCCTGCCTTGAGGGGGTTTTAAAGTGGTGTTGTGGAGACAAGATACCGCAAACAGCTTCACAGCAACATAATCCAGAATTCTGGTTCAAATTATAGAAAGCATGAGTGCGCGCGCGCGCGCGCGCGCGCACACACACACACACACACACACACACACTTTAAGGTTTAAAGGCGCTATGAAAAGAACAGTAGTGATGCTTAGACGTACACATTGAATTTTTCTTGGGCATCTGAAGATTTGGGAAAAGAATTTTTAGAAGAAAAAAATGCTTCTGTCCTCTAATTGCTGTCATAATCTCATTGCTCTCCATAGGAACAAAGGTGTATCCGGGAGGGAAATAAACCAAGAGTCCATGGAAACTACAACTGAAGATATTCAGAAGCAAGGCTACAATTTATGGGAAAACTGTGTCTTGATGTACTAATTAGCAGTCCTTTCCAGGGCCAGCTTTTCCCTGTTATTTGAGGAACCACGAGGGGGCAATATCTTCCTGAGCAATAGCTGAGTGGTGGTCTTGGACCCCTGTGCTGGCCAGGAATCCCAGGACTTTGTTCTTCTTGGTCATTCTTTCCTGTTACTGCATGCGCCCAAAGAAAGGCATTGTTTTGCTGGAGCCTGGCAGGGACCCAAGAAAAATGACAGTTAATCTAGTTCTTGATGGTTCCAGTCAGACCCCTCTTAAGAGTAGATGGAACATGTTGTGTGATCTCAGGATGCTGGAAGAACTTTCCCTACCCCCATCCAGGGGAAGGTGGCTTAATTCCAAATATAGAACATGATTTTTTTTTTTTTCTTTTTTTTGTCTTTAGGCCAAACCGGGACTTTGTCCATTGTTAAAAGTCAGAAACCTCTGGGATAAGAAACAAAAATATGTTCCATTAGAGGAGCTTTGTCTGGATTGTTCATTGTGTTCTCAACATCTATACAATACCTAACACATAGTAGGTACACAGTTACTTTGGAATGAATGAGTGAATGAATGAGCACATTAAGTCTTAGCAGTTACTTTTTTTTTGTACTTGAATGACATTGTTGGATTTATTCAAAATCCCAAGAGGAGAGAATGAATTAGTAGAAATGCCTTAGAATAGAGAGCCGCAGAAGGTCACTAGAGAGGGTCAGAGCAATGGTCTTTCTTTTATTTTATTTTTTGCAGGAGGTAGGACCTAAAAGAAGACCTACAACAAAGTGAGACAACTGATAAGATTTCAAGAAATAAAATGGAAACTCCCATCAGTATATTGACGCATCAGGCAATAAAAAGTTGAGAAGCCAACAGGGTTTCCCAAAGTCTATAGTTGGGGAGGTAGGGGTGGATGCAGAGTGTTCCCAGCACACTGTATGAGATGGGATAATATGCCTGGATGAAGGAGATTCCTGTTTCCTGGCATTTCCCCAAAGAATGGTTTAAACTTATTTGGAGGAAAAGTTGAATAACGTGTAACCAACCAAACCTAGGGAAAATCTGTAAACAGACCTTCATTATTTATAAAACCTTGTGACTTGAGTGTGCATGTGTGTGTCCGTACACACGCTCATGTGTTCGGAGAGAGCGATGTACATTCACTCAGGCTATAAATAATCCTGATTACTTGTTTACTGCTTCAAAGAAAGAAAGTTTCAAAAGTGAGATCTCTTCAGTAGCGATAGTTTCCAGACATACTAAGAATTATAAGACAACAAAGAGATTTTATATCCTGGAAAAATTGGGCTAATGACCAAGAAACATCTGCCCTCTCCCCTGTCCACTGCCCTACTATATTTCTGTCTGGCCTACAAGGTTACATGCCAGATTCAAGGGGAAATATCATATGCACCTGTAGTTTTTATTGCTCATCGCTGTTTCTCTGGCAGTGTTCCTTTTGAGGCTTGCATTAAGAAATCCAAACCCATAATTATGTCTTTAATGTTTGTCTCTGGGAATTGCAGACATTAAAAGGCTATTTTGAGGCTGTTTGCATGGCTTACGCTTTGTACCTATGCTAGCTCCACAGCAGAAAGCTGCAATATCTACCATATGTGTTGTGGATTGTCTGTTAAAATCTTCTGCCAAGCCAAAGGAGTTCTTGGGGCCAGAGATTCTGTTCCTTGGCTCTTGTCATCCTTGACAACTCTCTCTCCCTCATCCCACTGCTGTCCTCCCCTAGGCTATCACCATCTTCTGGGTTTTTTTTCTAATAGTGGAAAAAGACATATAACTTAAAATTTACCATCTTAACCATTTTTAAGTCTATACTTCAGTATTAAATATATGAACACAGTTGTGCACCATCCCCCTGATTTTTACTCCCTCAAACATTCTGAAAGGAGCCCACTTTCCTTCAGTCATTTAAGGAAGCCAGACCAGCCTCATGCAGAGGCCAACCTGGTGGAGGATACAGGTCACTGGTTTATGCTGAGCGGAGCTCTCAGCAGACAGTGCCAATGTATCTGGCGTGTCTGTAATCCCAGCATGCAGGGAGCTGAGGCAGGAGTACTGCTGCAAGTTTAAGGCCAGCCTGGGTTAAATAGTGAGACCCTGCCTCAAAAAAAAAAACAACCAATTAATAGTGTCCCCTAAAGACCCATGTGCTGAGGGAGGGATCCCCAATGCACCAGTGTTCAGAAGTGGGGTTAGACGACTGGGTCATCAGAGTATTAACCTCATCAGTGGACTGATGTGTTGACAGCTGAGTGGTCTATTAGATGATTTGGGCCCATTTGGAGGAAATAGTTCACGGGAGGCATGCCTTTGAAGGATATTTTGTCCCTGACCTCTTCTTCCGTTTCCTAGCTGCTATCAGATGAGCAGCTTTCCTCTGCCACACCCTTCCGCCGTAATGCTTCTGCCTTACCACAAGTGTAGAGTAACTGCGCTGGCTGCCATGGACTGAAACCTCTGACACTGTGAGCCATCATAAACCTTTCTTCCTTTAAGCTGTTTTTCTCAGGTAGTTTATCACAATGATGGAAAGCTGGCTAACACACCAGGCTTGTGAGTGAACTATCTTGGAAGTAGGTGCTCAAGCCCCAGCTGAGCTGCCCAACCAATGCCATGTGGAACAGGGATGATCTTCAGCAAACTGCTCACATTGCAAAATTGTTTAGCAAAAAAAAAAAAAAAAAAAGGAATGCTGTTGTTTTAGGTCATTGAGATTTAGGGTAGCTTCTTATACAACAATATATGACTAAAATATAATTGCATGCCAAGAAGTGTAATACAAACCCCAGGCCCAGCTCTGTGATCAGGTGGGCATGGAAGCTAGAAGAACCCTGAGAAGTCTGTCAGTGAAGAACACTTATGGGGCAAAGAAAATATTATTATTACAGGCTGGATCTGGCTTAGAAACTGGAAGAGCAATTAGCTAAATAACCTGCAGTTACATGAAAGTTACGAATAGGTACCTAATAAACATGTAGATGTGGCTATGGAGATTTCTGGAGAAAACACTGAAATGACTGAATGGTATTTAGTTCTTTATTTTGGAGTGCTGGAGATTGAACCCAGGGCCTCACACAAGCTAGATAAGTGCTCTACCACTGAGTTACAACCCCAGCCTAAATAGTTTTTTTTGGATGTTTATGATTCCCGACCAGAGAAGTAAAGGGACCTAAAAAAGGAAGTGTTCTATTTTCCATCAGAATTAAAAGAAATAGGACTTGGATTAGAGAATTAGAGAAGCCAGGACTTGGAAGGTTTGAAAAAAAAGTTCTCATTCCTAGCTTCTTTACAGGACAAAACTTTTAAAATTGGAAATGGCCTAAGAGCAAAGGTGCAACCCAGGATGCTACCATGAAAACATGGCCTTAGGTAAAGTTCAGGACCAGGATGTTGATAGAAGACCCTGGGGAAGGTGGCTTCAGCAATGATCCCCAACTACCTGCTGGTGTTGGAGCCCATGTGTGTGGTCCCCTCCCCTGGACCATGAGCTGAACCTACTGATTTACTTTTAATTAATACAGCATGGACAGGAAAAAAAAGAGACCGCTCATGTCTTACACACCCTTGTTGCTCTCACTCACTTCCTTTGATGGACTCCAGCTGCCACAACGTGAAGGCCACAAGGTGGAGAGACCCATCTGGCACGGAATAACGGAGGCCTTCATCTAAAAGCCAACAGGGAACTGGGTTTCAGTCCAGCAACCCACAGGGAACCTTGCCCACAACCATGTGGATGAACTTGTAAATAGATTCTCCCTATGTGGAATCTGTGGATAAAACCTGTTAGGACTAAACATTTAAGTCTCCCCCAAGTCCATTATAAAACCCTCATCTCCAGTGGGATGGTAGTAGGGTAAGGCCTTTGGGAAGTAACTAGGTTTAGATGCATTCAGGAGAGAGGCACCCTCATAATGGAGTTACTGCCCTTAGAAGAAGAGGAAAAGATGCCAAAGCTTCCTTTCTCCCCGTCACGTAAACACACAGTGATAACAGGAGCCAAACTGTCTGGCACCTTGATCTTGGATTTCCCAGCCTCTATAGCAGCCTGTTGCTTAAGCTGCCGGCCTACCTTGCTTTGTCATAGCAGCTTGTGTGGCTAAGACAGTAACTGACAACCTAGAAGTGGGGGTGCTGTTGTAATACTAAAAATGTCAAAGTAGCTTTGTTTTTTGTTTTTTTTTCTTTTTGCGGTGCTGGGGATTGAACCTAGGGTTTTCTGCATTCTAGGCACGCTCTCTACCACTGAGCTATAGCCTCAGCCTTTGGAGCTATTTTTATCACTAGGTAATAAAGAGAGACTGGAAGAGTTTTGAGGTGATGCTAGAAAAAGCTAAGATTTTATGAAGGGATTGTTAAAGGTGATTCTGGTGAGGGCTCAGAAGGAAGAGAGGAGAGGTATCAACAAAGCTACCAGCTGCTATGGTGCAGGCTTGTAATCCCTATGTGGAGGCTGAGGCAGAAGGATCAGAAGCTCAAGGCCAGCCTGGCCAATTTAGGAACAACATGTCTCAAAATAAAAGGGAAACCTGGGTGTTATGACACATGTCCATAATCTCAGCACTCTGGGAGGCTGAAGCAGGAGGATGGCAACTTTGAGCCCAGTTTGAGCAACTTAATGATTTAGTGAAATCCTGTCTCAAAATATTTTTTAAAAGGGGAGTGGGTGCTAGGGATGTAGGTCTGTATGAAGGCCCTGTGTTCAATCTATCCCTACAAAAAAGGTTCTACTGTCTTAGAGAACACAGAAATAATCATGAACAGAATACTAGTAGAACTATGGACAGTGAAAGCCATCCTGATAGTCTCAGATAGAAATGAGGAAGGTATTACTGGAAAATGGTGGGAAGGCAATATTTGTTATAAAGTGGCAAAAAACCCGACTTGTTCGTGTTCTACTCTTTGTTTTGTGTGTGTGCATGTGTGTGCGTGTGTTTTACAGCGTGGTACTGGAGATTGAACCTGAAACCCTACCACATGCTATGCAAGTGCCCTACAACTCAGCTACGCCCAAACCTGCATGATCTAGTGTTTTGTGGAAGCTAGAACTTGCAAGAATGAAACTGGACATTTATTTTGGAGATTTCTAAGCAAAGTGTGGAAGGAGTGGCTTGATGCCTCCTGACTGTTTAAAAGTAAAATGTGAGAAGAGAGAAAGAAATTGAAGATAGAACTGGGAAGCAAAAAGTAACTACAACTGAAATTTCTGGAAAATTCTCAGTCCTTCCAGATCCCCAGAACTGAAAAAATGTATTCAGAAAAGAATACCAATGACATAGCTGGTGGACCATTTGGTAAAGAGTTTAGAATACGTAAGAGATTACGATAGGTAATAAATTAGGACAGGTAAGAGATTAGGATAGGTATAATCAGCCTTCTCAACAGAAGCCATGGGATTGTAATGGTAGAAATACTACTGTCACTAAAGGAATAGCAAAAATGGGGTGCAGTATAGGAAGCATGCTGTATCCTGCAAGAAACAGGAAGACCGACCTCACAGTGATTCGAAGGTAGTCAGGGCTTGTGCTCCTAGCGCAAGTCCCCAGTGCATGGTCTGAGGGACAAAGCTGTCTCTGCTGTGGGTGGGACCCTGATCTAGTGGAGCTGTGTGGTGGACCCTTGTAGAGAGCCACTTGGGTGGTCCTCCAGAGCTGAAGGGACAGGACTCAACACAAATAGAACCTCAGTAGGTCAAAAAGGCAGGACTGCTCTCCGCTGGTCAGTAAGGCAGAGCATCAAACCAAATAAGATTGTCCTTGAGCTTTAAAGTCTTACAGTATTTGCCCTGTTAAGTTTTGAATTTGCTTGGAACCTATCACACTTTCCTTCCTTCCCATGTCTCCCTTTTGGAAGGAGAATGTCAATCGCATGCCTGTGCCACCATTGTGCTTTAGAAGCACATAACTTGTCTGGATTCCTAGATTCACAGGTAGGGAGAAATTTGCCTCAGGGTGAACTTCACCTTAGATCCCACCCATATCTGATTTAGACGATGTGTAGATGAGACCTTAGACTTTAGAACTGATGCTCACATGAGTTAAGGAAGACTGGGGATTCCGAGGTGGAATGGATGTATTTTGGTTATGAGAAGGATAGGGGTTTGGAGGGGCTAGTGGTGAAAGAATGACTCAAACAGGACCATACCCCTAGATGACACCTTGGTCTCAGTGTTTGGCAGTACTTGAGGCAGGTGTTTAGCCTAAGCAGCACCTGGGCTCCTAACAGAAACAGAGATGATAACAGTATGTTGCTTTAAGTCATTAAGTTTTGGGGTAACTTGTTACCCAGGGTAGCTGTGTGGATGCCCTGGAAGGTTTAAGGTGGTAGTTATAAGGTGCTTAATGATTGGAATACATTGTGATAAATGTAATTTTGGGTGATTTTGTTGTTGTTGTGCAAACATCACTGTGAACTTCTACAAACTAAGATAGCCACAGCATGGGTAGGTGATACAATCTTACAGCACCACAGCAGTCCATGTAGTCCATCCTTGAGGGAAACCTGTGAATGGGTCCATGCCTCACAGGTCCCTTCAACTAGACAATAGGGCATTTAACAACCTACAGGGTGTTGGCCCACTAGCCCCAGGTAGAATAGGGTCTGCCTTGGAAAGAAATATAATTGTTGGTTTGTCTTCATGATTCAATGCTAATTTCTTTTATCCTTTTTTTTTTTTTTTTTTTTTTTGAGGAGGGGCAGGACTAGGGCTTGAACCAGGGTTTTGTGCATGCTAGGCAAGCATTCTACCGCTGAGCTGCATCCCTCAGCACAATTTTAACTGGAGGTATTAGACACTTGTGGCTTTTTAAGGATTTTATTGCAGCTTACACTGAAATAGAGGCTCTACCTAATCAAGAGTCCTTTGAGGGTTCAATTTTATAGGCAGGACACAGGCTGAAAAAGTTACTTATTTGCAACTATTGGCTATTTCCAAAAGGAAAAATGACTCAGAAGATGGAGCAAAGAATCATTAAGAATTATTCCCAAAGAGCAGGGATGGTCCTCATTAAGAAACTGATATTATTGGACTATCTAGGCCATTTTTGTCCTTTTGAAAGGGAATATCTATTATAGGTTTTCTATCCCTTCTTTAGTATTAAATGGAGATCAGATGCTTCATCTTTTTAGTGCATTGGCCTTCAGAATAAATAATCTGATCAAATGTGACTCCTCCAGCTCTTCTGTCTCAGAACACAGGTCTGAGGACACAGTTGCACTATGTCTGAAGACATAGTTGAGAGTGATGCTGCACACCTATAATCCTAGCACTCAGGAAGTTGAGGCAGGCCTCACAAACTCAAGCTCAGCCTGGGAAATTAGTGAGACCTTGTCTCAAAATTTGTAAAAAAATTTTTTTTGTCTTTTGAGATGTGGTTTCACTGTGCAGTTCAGGCTGGCCTTGAACTCTCTTTGTAGCCCCGGCTGGCCTCGAACTTGCAGTGATCTTCCTGCCTTAGCCTATGAAGTGCTGGGATTACAGGTGTGCACCACCACATCTGGCAAAAAATTTTTTTAAAGAGCTGGGGATATAGTTCAGTGTGAAAATACTAGTTCAACCCCTGGCACTACCAAAAAAAAAAAAAAAAAAAAAAAAAGGCTCAAAAAAGCTACACCCAAAGCTTGGGTCCAACTTATATAATACTATCTATTTCTTTTTATTTTTTGTCAGTACTAGGGTTTAAATCTAAA